GCCACCTCAAATGCCTGGGCTCAAGTGATCCTCTTGCCTCAGCCTCCCGAGTAGCTGTGACTACAGGTGTACACCACCATGCCTAACTAGTTTTTCTGGGTTTTTTGTAGAGATGAGGTCTTGCTATGTTGCTCAGGCTGGTCTTGAACTCCTGGCTCAAGTGATCCTCCTACATTGGTCTCCCAAAGTGTCAGGATTACAGACATGTGCTATCATTTCTGGCCCAACTCAGTATTGTATCATAGATAGAAATCTCAGTATTTAATTTTTTTTCAAAAATAGTTTTACTTATTTTCAAATTTTATTCTTTTCCTAAATTAAGGGATGAAATATGAACAATGTGAACCATGGTAAACTCAAAGAAAAATAAATATTACTTTTTTAATCAAGAAGCTACTTTTTGGGGCCAGGTAGGATGGCTCATGCCTGTAATCCTAGCACTCTGGGAAGCTGACGTGGGTAGATTACTGGAGCTCAGAAGTTTGAGACCAGCCTGAGCAAAAGTAAGACCCTATCTCTAAAAAAAAATGAAAAAACTAGCCAGGTGTTGTATGGCTGGCACCTGTAGTCACAGCTACCTGGGAGGTTGCAGCAAGAGACTTGCTTGAGCCCAGGAATTTGAGGTTGCTGTGAGCTGTGATACCAGGGCACTAAACCCTAGGGCCACTGAGTGAGACTGTGTTTCAAAAAAGAAAAAAGGAAAAAAAAAAACTTTTTTTTCATGGCAGCCCTTCCAGATTTAGTGGAATATTTGTTCTAAAATTTAACCTCAAAGGTAAGTATTTAATTAACTAAATTAAAACCAAAGCCGAGGGTGGTGGCTCATGCCTGTATTCCTATCACTTTGGGAGGCTGAGGTGGGAGGACCAGTAGAAGCCAAGAGTTTGAGACCAATTTGGTGAGACTCTGTCTCTACAAAAAATAGAAAAATAATTAGCTAGGCATGGTAGCATATGCCTATGGTCTCAGCTACTCAGGAAGCTAAGCCAGGAGGATTCTTGAGCCCAGGAGTCTGAGGTTATAGTGAGCTTTGATGATGCCATTGCATGCCAGTGTGGGCAACAGAGTAAGATCCTGTCTCTAAAAATTTTGTTTTAAATAAAAGATTGAAGTAAAGACTTGCGATTAAGTTGCTTTGAGAATTATGTATGAGTTTGTGTCTTTCCCATCCTCTCCACAGGGTTTGTGCCTTACATTATTACTCCTTGCCATTTTCAAGAAAGCATTGCCAGCTCTTCCAATCTCTATCACCTTTGGGCTTGTTTTCTACTTTGCCACGGATTATCTTGTACAGCCCTTTATGGACCAATTAGCATTCCATCAATTTTATATCTAGCACATTTGCAGTTTGAATCCCATGGATGTTTCCTTTGACTATAATAAAATCTGGGGAGGACAAAGGTGATTTTCCTGTGTCCACATCTAACAAAGTCAAGATTCCCAGCTGGACTTTTGCAGCTTCCTTCCAAGTTTTCCTGACCACCTGCAGTATTGGACATTGGAAGGAGGTGTCTTTAGAAAATGGTTTTGAAAATTCTTCATCATGGTGGACCGTGTCCCTCGGTGCAAGACTACCAGATTTGAGGGACAAGGACAAGGAAATGTGATGGGCCAAGAAGTTGCTGTGCTCCCTCAACGGTTTGACCCTTGGTCACAGGGAGATTTTACCAACACTGGAGACACTCAGGACTACCATTACTAAGAGGTTAAATGAAGTGGTTTAAACCAAACAGGACTCTTCATCTTAAACTACATGTTGAAATCAACCCAATAAATCTATATTAATTGAATTCTGAACCTTTGCAGGAAGTGCTGTGAAGAGAATAGGCACCAACATCAAAATGGAGAGGTGGAAAGGGGCTCAAGTTTTCACTTCCAGACTTCTCTGCTGCAGATTTATTATTTTTAAATAAAAATTTTCCCCCCACTTTGAGTTAAGGCAGGTCTGTAGGTTGATTTGGACCATTTTTGCTCTCAAGGACTGAAACCCATTACTGTCTCTAGTAACCACTTTTTCCCTTGGCCAGCCTGAACTTGTCTGAGGTTGCTTTATTCTAGAAATATTAACTGCAGTTTCCAAATTCGGTAATTTATGAAAATAATGGAACTGTTGTTCAGCAGTTCCCTATCTTCCTTAAGTAAATTCTGTATTTTCCACCAAATTCTTAATTTTTAGATGTAATGTAGGTTCACTTGCCCCACACACTACCTCCTCTGTCCCTGTCCTTCCCTCCCTTCCCACACGAGCAGTCCTCTCCCACAGCAAGTAAGGCAGCTCTGTCATGGTAGCAGATGATCCTGGGATTGTAGTGCTTTATTCTTTGTATAATGCAAAGAATACGTTATGAATCAGTGCTGTCAGCCTTGCTGTCATAACTTTCTTCCATAGCAGATAGAATGTGTGCCCAAAGACAGAATTAAAGACGAGTAAAGTGGTTGGTGAAGCACTTTTGTCCTGGTTTTCCTTTTTTTTTACTACAACCCACTGTCACAGTAGGCCAGAATTTGAACTAATAGCCAAAAGCTGGTGGATTATAAGATTATGAGTTAGTCATATCAGTACAAAGCACAAGTTTGGAGAAAACTACCATTTCACTTGGTGAGCTGCAGGAGAACTTGGGGTCAGGAGAAGAACCAGCTGCCAAGAGGGAGAAAGAAGGTGCCTCCAACGCCTAAGGGGACAGAACGAGCTAATGATGTTAAGGAGGAGATCCAGGTTGTTCCTCAGAACTTCACAATGGGTGCTTTGTGGTCGTCTGTCTGCCTTCATGTTTCTGTCAATGCACCTTAGTGTGAATTGGGCAGCGGAGGTGCTGACTGGAGTTACTGTATTCAGTCTCCACACAGTTCAGTGCACAGAGGCATCCGCCAGAGGGACACGACACCTCTCTATGAAGCCTTGCTGGGGCACAGGCACAGCGATCACATTGTAAGCATTTGTGAGAAGCTTCATTTCTTCCTGTGGCTGGAACAAGGCTGGCTTTTCCTCTGTTAAATACAGTTGTCTCTCCCAGTCTGTCAGATGATCCGGTTTAGGGTTCTTCTGGGAGTTTACGGTATTTATTTTCTGTCACGAGATAGTTCTCCAAAGAAACTAACTAGGAGTAGCGTTCTTGTACCAACTTGTGTGTAAGTGAAAACTGGCAGATGGTAGGCAGTGGAGAGCAGGAAGAATAAGAGCTATGTAAAGGAGGAGTGGGGCTTGAGTCGTAGTTCTGTCGTCTCGCTTTGTGTTCTCCGTTTAGTCCCTTTATCCCAGGTTCATTCTTCCTCCCCTCGACGTGTGGCAGCAGGGGTATTGTCCTGAAAAAGCACAGCTACAACAAAGCCACCTGAACACCAATTTGTGGTTGGAAGCATTCTTGAGATTCCACATGTATCCTTCCTGACAAGTCTCCCCTCAGGAGAGGGCGTGTGTTTAACCCCCTCTTGTGTATTACCTCCCATGTAGAGGACAGTGACTCTCTTTCTGCCTGTGTGAGCACATCTCAGCCACACTGTAAGACAAGCACACAGAAAACCCATCTTATTTCTTAAAATCACTGGTCTCCAACCCAGAAAGTTTAAACATTCTTTTTCTTTTTTTTTGAGACAGGAGCCTCAAGCTGTCCCCCTGAGTAGAGTGCCATGGCATCTCAGCTCACAGCAACCTTCCTGCCTCTGCCTCCCAAGTAGCTGGGACCACAGGTGCCCGCCACAATGCCTGGCTATTTTTTTTCAGTTGCAGCCATCATTGTTGTTTGGCGGGCCCAGGCTGGATTCGAACCCGCCACCTTAGGTATATGTGGCTGGCATCTTAGCCACT